ATGGAGGTGGTGGTGGTGGTGGAGGTGGTGGTGGAGGTGGTGGAGGTTAGTGGTAGTGGTGGTGGTTAGTGGTGGCAGCATTTCTGGTGGGAGGGAGGAAAGAAGGAGGGAGCAAACAGATAGACAAATGGGCTGGACACATTCATGCAGTAGTTCAGGGTGTGAGAGCAGACAGGAAAAAAGAAAATGGATGTTTTACAGGGAGAATCCTGCTGTGACTGGATCATATATCAGGAAGGAGAGAGGCAGGAAGACAGACAAAGAAAACAGGGAAGGGAGAGGAATAGGAACATTAGAATCACAGTGCGGCCGATCTATATGCTGGGAACAAGATACAGAGTAACAGGGAAGAGAGAGGAATGGGGGCAGTATTCTTGCAGCCTGAATTTGGAGGAGACAACCCCAGAGTTTCTGGGCACAGAAATTGGACTCAGCAAGTACCCATTCACAAGCCATTTGCTGGGAATCTGGTTGTGAGGGCAGGTACACAAATCACATCTGGGAGCTGTGTGTGGATGGACTCTGGTGAAGTCTGTGTCACACAGGGGAATTCCAAGGGCATTGACTGTCTCTACCTTGAAACAGGCTGGAGTCACCTGGCATTGCAGTGACTCAGTAGGCAGTTTGGAGGTTGGAAGAGGTCCTGTACCTCTAAGACATTTTTGTTTGGGAATGGGAAGCTTACTGAGCTGTTCATTCAGTGTGGTAAAAGTGGAATGGGGAGAGAGAGTGACTGGTCTTCCACAGCCATAACACATGGTTGTGGAAGGACTTCTCACCCCGGCCACTCCTGGGTTCCTCTGTCACCGATGCAATAAGCCAAAGCAAACTGAATTAATAAATCCAGATTTAATAAACAGGGCTGCGCAAAGCAGAGTACTCCCAGGTGGTGGTGAGGAAAGCAGGAGACAGATCATGAGAGCACCCATGGCAGATGTATGGGCTGGGTCTTAAATAGCTGGTAGGCATGGTACCAGATATCTCTGGAGGAGGAACCATGGATGGCAGGCTTTCTGCAATGGGGCTGCTTGAGCAGGAGATTTCAAACAGTTTGAAAAAATGTTAATGTGTCCTGAAATTTTAATGTAAAGCAACTGTGGAAATAGGCATAGGTTTGTGATGATTATTAAATTGTCACAACACCATGTACTCCAATGTCAGGTAGCTGTTCAGTGTTTGCAAAGCATTCTATAGTAGATGTCACTATAGCCATGTGAGAGACATGTTAGACTGTCTATCCAATTATCATCATGCCTTCCAATTATGATATCATTGATGAGGGCATTAGTGTATGGTCAAGACCTTTTAAAAGCAAAGCTTTGGTATTAAAGCTAGTGTTGCTCTTATACTTGTAGTGAGTGATTTGGCATAGTTTAGTGAGAGGAGCACTTTATGAGAGACCAGGAGGTTGTCTTGGTGTATGAATGAATCTCTATTTCACATCTGTATGACACACAAAACATTCAACTATGGGAAAGCAATGTGAAAACCCTTTATTTGTTATCTTCCTTTACCAGGTATGTTATCTGTCACTCTGAATACAATCCATGGGAGCATAAGGGATATGGAAAGAAGCATTGTAGTTCTGTCTCTCTCAGAACAACTGGAAGATATATGGTCGTCCCCACTAAGAGAAGACATGATGACTGTGATATAAGTTTACAATTAACTGGTTTTCCACCTTCAGTGGGAATTCATCAAGAAACTCTCATTGGAGAAAAACCTTATGAGTACCAGGAATATGGAAATTCATCTGTCTCTACTGGTTCACTGTGCATATGTAGTATAGCTCACAGTATAAGAAAATGTTATGAATGCAATCAGTGTGATCAGACCCTGAGTTCTTCAAGTTCTCTTCAAAGATGTGAAAAATCTCATGTGGGAAGAGAAAAAAATAAATGTGAGTCATGTACTAAAGGCTTTAGGCTTGACAGGCATCATCAAACACACCAAAGAATCAATAACGAAGAGGCTGTCTATGAATATAATCAACATGATAAAGCCTTTAGATCTGATTGCTCTTTAGAAGTAAACCAAAAAATTCATTTGGTAGGAAAACCCTATGAGTATAATCAAAGTTATAAAGCCTTTGAATGTCACAGTCTTCATCATCAAGTACATAGAATTCAAACTCGAGAGAAATGCTATGAATGTAATCAATGTAGTAAAGCCTTTGTACAGATGAGTGATCTTCACAGACATGAAAGAATTCATACTGGAGAGACACCATATGTATATAATCAATGTGATAAAAGTTTTGCAGAGACAAGTAATCTTCACAGTCATGAAAGATTTCATACAAGAGAGAAACCCTATTTATATAATCAATGTGGTAAAGCCTTTACAGGAAAGAATAGTCTTAGCAATCATGAAAGAATTCATACTGGAGAGAAACCCTATGAGTGTAATCAATGTGGTAAAGCCTTTGCACGAAAGAGTAATCTTCAAAGTCATGAAAGAATTCATACTGGAGAGAAACCCTATGAATGTGAACATTGTGGTAAAGCCTTTGCACGGAAGAGTCATCTTGAAAGTCATGAAAGAATTCATACTGGAGAGAAACCCCATGAATGTAATCAATGTGGTAAAGCCTTTGCAATGAAGAGTTATCTTCTCAGCCATCAAAGAATTCATACTGGAGAGAAACCTTATGAATGTAATCAATGTGGTAA